AAACGATGCCACAGTGTGACATCAGTTGCACATGTGATCTTTTACCTAACATAATGTAAACGAGGCTTAACCAAGGATATATACAGTTGAAGCCTATGAGGACTCCTATTATTTATACTTCTTGATATGAAGCCAAGAATTCCACTAGCTATATTGCGATGACTTACACAGTTGTCTAACTTTTAGTCATGCTAATCACGAGTCTTAAGTAATTTTATCATTCAGCAGTATTAAGATCTACATTTGCACAGATCAGTTTTACAGGCTAAAAGCTGTTATTCTACCTCAGCTCATTTCTAAGCTCGTCTCTATCACCAGAGATGCAACCCACAACAGTCGACTAACATCCAAGTACCTACTTACTGCTAGTTAAACAACTGGTGCAATAACAGACCCGACCCTTCACCCGTGCCGGGAATCGAGCCATGGGTTACAACTATCCTAGTTATTTTCTTTTCCCAGGATTAGAACTTTACATCTGTCTACATTAAACTGCATCTGCCGCTTCTCCGATCATTGCATCAACATGCCAGATAAGATTTTGTTTGATTTTTAACCCGGGAGAGGGTTAAAAAACCAAAACAAAGGATCTCATTTCCATTGAGGAAATGAGGTCCTTTGGATTAGGCTCTTTTGGTACAAAATCATTAATTTCTATATTAACATAAATTAAAAATATATATCTTTAAAGGTATAAGAGAAAATTTTAGAAAGGACTTAATTTTAAATGAATTCTTGCTAAATGACCAGTTTTACCTATATATATATATATATATATATATATATATATATATATATATATATATATATATATATATATATATATATATATATATATATATATATTAGTGAATGCAATTAGTTTATAAGGATCCCAATGGCAATACGTCACTTTTTCTGACTTTTTAGGGTTGTAGTAATTAATTTGCACTATGTATGATAAATGTACTTATGTGCACCTGTGCCCAAATAAACTTACTTAAGATCTACCTGTCATTTACATGTTCATTAGACACTGCAACGAGCAGTAACCCGCCAGTGTGCAAAACGTTTAACAGGCTTCCATCTCACACTCGTAAGAGAAGACTGTTTATAACACCCTGCATGGTTGCTGTGTACCAAACTAAACAGATATACGGGAGAGATGGGTTTGTGAGGCGCTACCCTCCACGAACCTCTGGGAGTATTGCAATGCTCATTTTTTCTTATTTTTCAGTATGGTTGTTGAGGAAGGGGTGTTAGCAGTGTTTGTAATGTGGTCAGTATGTCAGGGATATTGGCAGTAGCGATTTAATATGGTGTCAGCTGGGTACATGAGAAGCAACTGTGTAGCGGTCACCTGTGCATACACTTATACACATACATACACACACACACATACATACATACATACACACACACACACACACACACACACACACACACACACACACACACACACACACACACACACACACGAAAAACCAAGAGACAACGATGTACAAAATAGTGAGAGGAACTGATAGGGTGGACAGGGAGTGTGTCGGAAATGCGGTAGACAGGTGCACAAGGCAACGGCTGGAAGTTAACAACGTAGACGAGATACAGAGATGTTGAGAAACTAGCAGTCATGAAGTGGAACGACCTGGAGAGCGAAGTGGAGGCAGGATCTATACACAGGTTAAAGAATATGTATGATAGGGCTCACGGAGCGAAACCAGAAGCGGCCAGTTTGAGGTAGGGCCAGGAGCTGAGACTTGGCCCCTGCAACCACAAATAGGTGAACACACACATACTAATATTCGCACTCCTTTATAACTGTGGCCAACATGTGCACAATATAATAACCAATTAACATTCATTATCTCGTGCATCTCTAGAAATAATTTCCTGGACAAGACGAGATTAAATCATTTATTGAAACAGTAACATGTAATTAATACATGTGACTATATAATCACGGCCTCCATTTAAATCTTCACGTCCAGAAAATCTTGCAAAATAAATCATCTGTAGAAAATCGTTAAACATTACTAACCGTAAACCCAAGTCGATTGTCAATGAATGAACAGACAAGACTGGGGGGGGGGGGGACTCGAACCGTGGGCCCTAGAAAACCCTTAAACTATCTAATATTCCCTAGAAAACCATCAGCCATTACCAATCATTTCTAGAAACCGTCAAACATAACTAATCCCCTCTAAGCAACCTTCAAAGATAACTAATCATTTCTAGAAACCTCCCAACATATACCAACTTAAACCATCATATATATATACCTCAATAAATGTCTTCGAAAATGTTTAATCGTTTCTAGAAAGTCATTAAGCGTATCTCACTGCCTCTAGAAAACCCTCACATATACAAGTAAATTTATTTATTGAACACCCTCTCAACACAAAATTTTCAAATCGTATCTAGAAAACCATCTTACAAATCGATTAACGTCTAGAAAGCCGTCCTAAAAGTGTCCGATTCATCTCCAGAAAGCACAAACGAAAATTCATCCACTTTTAAAATATCGTTAAGTACCTAAATATTACCCATATCATGGCAACTACCCCAGTATTTAAATACTAATTTACAGAAAGCCGTCACATTTAAATACCCATTCTATTCTAGAAACCCGTCACACCTTGTTACCCTTCTTAATAAATCGTCACCCTTACCCCATACACAAAAAAAAAATCTAACAATCGAAGAGTGGAAATATCACTGACCTTTTTTTTTGGGGGGGGGGGGAGGGGTTATCATATGTAATTTACACTCATTACTATGTATGATAACTGTAATCACCAAAAATTTGTATAACTGTACCTGTAACTATTTATAAACTTAAATATTAAATATAACATTTATACAGAAATAACAGAGCTGGCCAGCCACGTAATTTGAGGTGTCACCTGTTGATGGGAAAATCAAAAGACAACACTTCCCTTCCTTGTAACAGACAACACTTCCCTTCCTTGTAACAGACATAACTTCCCTTCCTTGTAACAGACATAACTTCCCTTCCTTGTAACAGACAACACTTCCCTTCCTTGTAACAGATAACACTTTCCTTCCTTGTAACAGATAACACTTCCCTTCCTTGTAACAGACAACACTTCCCTTCCCTGTAACAGACAGCACTTCCCTTCCTTGTAACAGACAACACTTCCCTTCCTTGTAACAGACAACACTTCCCATCCTTGTAACAGACAACACTTCCCTTCCTTGTAACAGATAACACTTCCCTTCCTTGTAACAGACAACACTTCCCTTCCTTGTAACAGATAACACTTCCCTTCCTTGTAACAGACAACACTTCCCTTCCTTGTAACAGATAACACTTCCCTTCCTTGTAACAGACAACACTTCCCTTCCTTGTAACAGACAACACTTCCCTTCCTTGTAACAGACAACACTTCCCTTCCTTGTAAGATAACACTTCCCTTCCTTGTAACAGACAACACTTCCCATCCTTGTAACAGACAACACTTCCCTTCCTTGTAACAGATAACACTTTCCTTCCTTGTAACAGATAACACTTCCCTTCCTTGTAACAGATAACACTTCCCTTCCTTGTAACAGACAACACTTCCCATCCTTGTAACAGACAACACTTCCCTTCCTTGTAACAGATAACACTTTCCTTCCTTGTAACAGATAACACTTCCCTTCCTTGTAACAGACAACACTTCCCATCCTTGTAACAGACAACACTTCCCTTCCTTGTAACAGATAACACTTTCCTTCCTTGTAACAGATAACACTTCCCTTCCTTGTAACAGACAACACTTCCCTTCCCTGTAACAGACAGCACTTCCCTTCCTTGTAACCATACGAATATAGAGAAAAATATTCATTGCATATGAACATCTGGTACGCGTATCACGTGTATCTACCCCAAAACATCTGAAAAACTAGACACAGGTGTGTGTGCGTCCACCCAAAACATCACGTGTGTATACACCGAAATGTCTGCGAAACCTGGTACTTTTATATCCACCCAAACATCTGAGAGACTAAGCTCATGTATCCACCCAAACATCTGAGACTAAGCTCATGTATCCACCCAAACACCTGAAACTAGGCTCATGTATCCACCCAAATATCTGAGACTAAGCTCATGTATCCACCCAAACATCTGAGATTAAGCTCATGTATCCACCCAAACATCTGAGACTAAGCTCATGTATCCACCCAAACATCTGAGACTAAGCTCATGTATCCACCCAAACATCTGAGACTAAGCTCATGTATCCACCCAAACATCTGAGACTAAGCTCATGTATCCACCCAAACATCTGAGATTAAGCTCATGTATCCACTCAAACATCTGAGACTAAGCTCATGTATCCACCCAAACATCTGAGACTAAGCTCATGTATCCACCCAAACACCTGAGACTAAGCTCATGTATCCACCCAAACATCTGAGACTAAGCTCATGTATCCACCCAAACATCTGAGACTAAGCTCATGTATCCACCCAAACATCTGAGACTAAACCTGTGTGCATCCACCCCAAAACATCTGAGACTAGACACATGTATCCACCAAAGATCTGAGCGACTAGGCACATGTATCTACACAAGCATCCGAGACCAAACACGTGTATACACCCAAACACCTGACACACACATATATAACACAAAGTCTACACTAGACTTCCCATTTCTACAATCCCTACATAAACATATTCCTCACATTTTTATATATATATAAACTGTCTTCATATTTTCCACTGAACATGTCAAAACAAGTTGTAGCATTCCAGGAATTTTACGTATCCCATCTCTATTATATATATACGGAAAAATAAAATGAGAATAGGTAGGTGTGAAGAGAAGCCGCCTAACAGGAGCACACAGGTCTACTGCTCTATGAAATTTAAAGGAGGTAAGCAACACAAGAGTCCTCTAATACTGTATAAGGAAAGCCAGCTGGAACACACAACCCAACACACTATATAAGGGAGGCACTATACCAAGCACTTGCATCCATCACAGTGTACAACACATGATACTATTCACTAACCTGAAGCATCCAGTGGGCCACCATTTCTCTCATGTGTGGTTCAACGTCTGTTTGCACGCACGAAAAATATCTCGAATTTGGCATGTATTTTTCCTCTAAGTTCAATAGATTTAATAAGACTCTGTCGTCTTTAAGTAACACTGGGTCTAAGTAAGCTTTGCACTTCATATCGAGTTCCACAGATGCATTTTCACAACAGAGAAGATCCATTTTGTCCATTTTGGTGTGGTTGTCACACTGAGGTAAGCAGTCAGTTAATTAAGTATTATACTGCGTGGTTGTGGACAACACTGTCAGTCTGCACACATCCACGTACAGCTGACCATTGTGGCGCAATTGACCTCTTTAATAAAATGTACGTGCAATATTATGACTAGTTTAATCTGACAGAACACTGTTCCCGAACCTTGAACCCATCCAGCTTTTCTCTGTGTTTATAATAACTTTAATTACTCGTAATGAAATAGAGCACTCGTTGCTTTGATGAAATGAGGTAGGATGAAGAGAGTGGCATCGGAAAAATTATTCACATACTCTTAATTTGCGCTGTCACACTGCACTTGCATTTAAATAGAACAAGGTCGCAAAGGCCGGAGCGAAACTATGTACGTACGTCCCCTCTCAGGTCTCCGGCCTCACTGAGTCCAGGCGTGGTGTGTACAGTGTACACTCGTCACTCGCACACCACAAAGTTGTTGCCACATGTCCAAAACATTGATGCCTTCTCCCCATACTAAACATCATGCTCCTTTGCCATTTACCCGTAGAAACACGGCCACAGCAACTAGCGAAAGCAGCACAGCAACCAGCTATTGGGCTGACACTGGTAAAAAGGAGAAAATAAATATATTTATATATGATCGGGGAGAGAGAGAGAGAGACAGTGTGTGTGGCAGGGGAGAAGAGGATGGGCCAGCAGCAGCAGCATATGTGAGACGATACAGGGTTTCCGTGCCAACCTTGGTTATCTCACATAATTACTTGGTAATGGAATACCTTGCGGGTATTCCGGTGAGCCTGGGAAAGGGTAGGGCAGCATCATACCCAGTCACAAAGATGAGAAACAACACCATAAATGTCGTCCCACAACAACTTCCTCTCCTGGAGTTCCCAGGTGCCGCCAGAGATGGCGAGCAGCAGCCTGCCCACGCAAACAATTCTTAAATAAATTATCAGATAATCCCCTCCCAAAAAATAATGCAATTATGTTATAATTAAAAACTACAACGCTGCAGTCTGGGTTGGAGTAACAGAGTGCATTTTATAGTCATGTAAATGTATGTGCTCTGCGAGTTGTTACTTTCTGAAGGTCGTAAGGAAGGATCAGTCAGTGTAACCATAATGGTACTCTGACACATCAGAGTCAAACACATGTATGAGATATTGCTTGTAGAGGCAGTGATGATGGTGCTCAACAAAGTTCACCATACACACACACACACATATACCTGTCACAGCACACCATGCAGCTCATAATAGCTTACTGCACCTCACACCACTGCATAACACACAGCTCAGTGAAAAACATAGCACTCGACACAACATAACACAGCACAGCACACAGCTCACCACATATCTCATCACACATCTCAATACACATCACACCACGCATTTCACCACACACAGTACACCACACATCTCTCTACACAGCTTACCACACATCTCACTACACAGCACGCCACACATTTTACTGCACAGTAATTCACAAAACTCACAACATATCACACTACACAGTTCACTATGAACACAACACACAGCACAGCACACAACACAGCACACAACACAACACAACACAGTGCACAACACATCATACAACACGGCACACAACACAACACACAACACATCAAACAACACTTCACACAACACTCAACACAGCACACAGCACACAACACTTCACACAACACTCAAACACAGCACACAACACTTCACACAACACTCAACACAGCACACAGCAACACAACACTTCACACAACACTCAACACAGCACACAACACTTCACACAACACTCAACACAGCATACAACACACAACACAGCACACAACACAGCACACAACACAACACACAACGTAAAACACAACACAGCACACTAGACACCACACAACACAGCACACAAAACAGCACACAACACAGCACACAATACAATACACAACACACAACGCAACACGCAACATAGCACGCAACATAGCACACTACACAGTACACAAACACAGCACACAACACAGCACACAACACAGCACACAACACAGCACACAACACAAACACAGCAAACAACACACACACAACACAGCACACAACACACAACATACACACAATACAGCACACAACACAACACACAAACACAGCACACAACACAGAACACAACACAGCACACAACACACAACACACACACAACACAGCACACAACACAACACACAACACAGCACACTACACAGTACACAACACAGCACACAACACAGCACACAACACAACACACAACACACACACAACACAGCACACACACACAAAAAACACAGCACACAACACAACACAGTACACAGCACAACACACAACACAACACAGCACACAACACAGCACACAACACAACACAGCACACAACACAGCACACAACACAACACAGCACACAATACAACACACAACACAACGCAACACGCAACATAGCACACTTCACAGTACACAACACAGCACACAACACAGCACACAACACAGCACACAACACAGAACACAACACAGCACTCAACATAGTACACAAGTGCAAAGTTATGAAGCTTGGGGGAGGACAAAGAAGACCGCAGGTCAGAGGTCAGAGGCTGCAAAACTCACTTAAGGAAATGGATCTTGGGGTAAGCATTATACCAAGCACATTTCCTGGGGTGCACATCAACCAAATAACTGCTGTAGCATGCGGGCGCCTAGAATACCTAAGAATAGCTTTTCGACATCTAAGTAAGGAGTCATTCACTACACTGCTACACTGTGTACGTCAGGCCCATACTGGAGTATGCAGCACTAGTTTGGAGCCCAGACCTAATCAAACACGTCAAGAAATTTGAGAAACTGCAAAGGTTTGCAGCAAGTCTAGTCCCGGAGCTGAGGGGGTTTGTCCTACGAGAAGAGATTAAGGGAATTCAACATGACAGCACTGGAATATAGGAGGGATAAGGACATCATGACAAGGTGGATAAGGACAGAATGTTCCAGAGATGGGACACAGCAACAAGGGGTCACAATTGGAAGTTGAAAACTCAGATGAGTCACAAGGATGTTAGGAAGTATTTCTTCCTTCATAGAATTGTCAGGAAGTGGAGAGTAATGTAGTAAACGAAGAATCCATGCATAGCTTTAAGAAGAGGTATGATGAAGCTCATGGAGCAGGGAGAGAGTGGGCCTAGTAGCGACCATTGAAGAGGTCAGGCCAGTGGCTATGATTTGACCCCTGCAACCACAATTAGGTGAGTACAACTAGGTTAGTACAACACAGCACACAGTAAGTACACAACACAGCACACAACACAGCACACAACATAGCACACAACACAACACAGCACAGCACACAACACAGCACACAACACAACACAGCACACAACACAGCACACAACACAGCACACAACACAGCACACAACATAGCACACAACACAACACAGCACAGCACACAACACAGCACACAACACAACACAGCACACAACACAGCACACAACACAGCACACAACACAGCACACAACACAGCACACAACACAGCACACAACACAACACACAGCACACAACACAGCACACAACACAGTACACAACACGGTAGACAACACGGTAGACAACACGGAAAACAGATGGTGGCAGAGAAGTGCAGAATCAGTCATTATTCATGAAGACAATTTTCCTGGTTTGAGAATAGAGAATGAAATTAAATGAAGACCGTTAACAGCCCGTGAGGATGATAGCATGTAGAATGAATCAACAGCATGTGAGGATGATAGCATGTAGAATGAATCAACAGCCTGTGAGGATGATAGCATGTAGAATGAATCAACAGCCTGTGAGGATAATAGCATGTAGAATGAATCAACAGCCTGTGAGGATGATAGCATGTAGAATGAATCACCAGCCCGTGAGGATGATAGCATGTAGAATGGGATAACTGAAGTTCTTAATAAAGTCAAAGAAGTATTATTATTATTATTATTATTATTATTATTATTATTATTATTATTATTATTATTATTATTATTATTGTTATTTATTTCTACATGTACAAGGTATATAGGCCTAGCTGATATCAATGACATACTACTATATAGAATGCCCCTTGTTATGCAGAGCATTTCGGGCAAGTTAGGTCAATTTTGTCCCCAGGATGCGACCCACACCAGTCGACTATTACCCGGATATATATTTTACTGAAAATGGACAACATATGTCTTAAGGAAACAAGTCCTAATGTCAACTATTGGGTCTGTAATGTTGTCTACAACGGCAGTATGTTTACTCACAGGATGAGTAGCACTGTCCAATAAACTCATCTCTCGGGGGCAAACATTGGCTGTAACGATGGTCGCTTCAAGACGAGGTGAGGAGGTACAGGACTTGACGTTCATGTTTCTTTCTTCCCTAGGGGCAGGTTCATGACCACACGGGGCTCCAGGTTCATGACCAGACGGAGCTCCAGGTTCATGACCACACGGAGCTCCAGGTTCATGACCAGACGGAGCTCCAGGTTCATGACCAGACGGAGCTCCAGGTTCATGACCACACGGAGCTCCAGGTTCATGACCAGACGGAGCTCCAGGTTCATGACCACACGGAGCTCCAGGTTCATGACCACACGGAGCTCCAGGTTCATGACCAGACGGAGCTCCAGGTTCATGACCACACGGGGCTCCAGGTTCATGACCAGACGGAGCTCCAGGTTCATGACCACACGGGGCTCCAGGTTCATGACCAGACGGAGCTCCAGGTTCATGACCAGACGGAGCTCCAGGTTCATGACCACACGGAGCTCCAGGTTCATGACCAGACGGAGCTCCAGGTTCATGACCACACGGGGCTCCAGGTTCATGACCAGACGGAGCTCCAGGTTCATGACCATACGAGGTTCCAGGTTCATGACCACATGGGGCTCCAGGTTCATGACCAGACGGAGCTCCAGGTTCATGACCATACGAGGTTCCAGGTTCATGACCACATGGGGCTCCAGGTTCATGACCACACGGAGCTCCAGGTTCATGACCATACGAGGTTCCAGGTTCATGACCACATGGGGCTCCAGGTTCATGACCACACGGAGCTCCAGGTTCATGACCACACGGAGCTCCAGGTTCATGACCAGACGGAGCTCCAGGTTCATGACCACACGGAGCTCCAGGTTCATGACCAGACGGAGCTCCAGGTTCATGACCACACGGAGCTCCAGGTTCATGACCAGACGGAGCTCCAGGTTCATGACCATACGAGGTTCCAGGTTCATGACCACATGGGGCTCCAGGTTCATGACCACACGGAGCTCCAGGTTCATGACCAGACGGAGCTCCAGGTTCATGACCAGACGGAGCTCCAGGTTCATGACCAGACGAGGTTCCAGGTTCATGACCACATGGGGCTCCAGGTTCATGACCACACGGGGCTCCAGGTTCATGACCACACGGGGCTCCAGGTTCAT